AGAAAATGCCAGACTTCAAGGCAAAATTAGTACCAGGAGCTAGTAAGTTTTGCCCTTTCTTTCTGTTAAAAACCCACTGCCTAGGAGCTAAATCCAAACAGAAATTGCAGAGATGGGAGGGGGAAAAAGTTTGATTCCGCTCTTAGTTGACACATTTCATGGCTTGTAGCATGTAGGAGCACATCGCGCGAATGGCGTTCGAAAGCATTCTCTCTGCTTCTGCTCTCTTGTTTGACACCGAACCATGAGTTTGGGTGTGCGGCTGGAAGAATGTGGGAAAAGTTTGTCAAAGATTCTTGAGTCAGTTCCTTCCTTGAAACGACCAGGAGAATCTCTAGGAAGGGTTCCTGGAGATCTCATAAGTAAAAGCAGGATATAAATTCAAAAATAAAGTAATAAGTAAAAGAAGGCAGGGAACTTGGCAAGTAAGGTTCTGATGAAGATGAAAGTTCGGTGGGGATGTTCCCCTCCCATCCCCCCAATGGAAATGATGCAAATTTCATGCCAAATCACGCCCCCCCTCCCCCCCATGTACTTGGCTGGAGATGAAGAAGGAAACTTAACCCATTTGTTGCTCACACTCATTTGAAATGTTTGGTTCCCCTTCCCCAGCGATCTTGATTGCAACTGAATGGGTTATTTTCTTAACCGTAAAGGAAACACGCTTCAGCCAGGATTCCTGTGTCTCTGTTTATTGCTGTCATAACTCAGGAAAGCCACATCTGGCATGACAGCTACTAAAACAGATGCGGAGGAGCCATCTTGTTGGGGAGTGGGTGGAGAAAAGCTCCTTTAAGGTCTGCTAAATTGGGATCATGAGGGTAGTAATGACTACGGAAAGTGGGATTATCCTGAGACTCACCAGTATTTCTTAAATGATGGTGACATTTTATCCCAGTCAAGACAACAATCCTATAGGGTAGAACAGTATGAGAGATTAGAGACTTTATTAGACCCATTGGCCGAATCAGATGGATGTTTCATCCTGGTCTTCCTGAACCAGGTCTGCACTCCAACCATGTTTCACAATGAGCTGTTAGAGCTCCTTGGATACAACCTGCTAAAAATAATAAAAATAATTACTATTTATGGTTTGGTGTTGATTTTGTTGACTTTGACAAGAAGAGGGAGATGTCTTGAAAAGAAGCCAACAGAGGCTTGTCTGTGACCTGACGCCTGTTTTGAGTGCCAGGCAGGAACATGCCCTTTAGGTGATGAAGCAGGCTGGATTATACATGCAGCCACATGTGGCAGGAATGAAGTGGCCGGCTTTTGCGGTGGCAGGAGGGCTCATTTCATTTCTGAGTTCAAGAGGGGATGTCATTTCTCTGCATTAATTAAAAAAAAAGGTATCTCTGCAAGTACAGACTACAATGTCTGCTGGGCTAGATTTTTGCATGCAGGAAATGTTTTACCTGAGGAGCATTCCAGTGGCATCCAGGCACACATGCCAGGGGTTTGAACAGATGTGCTGTTATCTTATAAAGACTCTCACGTAGCAGGCCCCCACTGTGACTCACCAGCCAACCATTCAATTTCGAGTTTATAGATGGGCAGGGACATCTGTGGAAGTAGGGAGGGAGTTTGGAAAAGTCAAGATAACAGCTGGGTCCTTGTGATGGACAGGTATCAAAAGAGGCGGGGCTGTGACCTCGTGATGGATGGGTGTAAAGAGGGGCAGGGTTTTGATCACATGACCACAGCCGACACCTGGATTTTTTCACCCTCCCTGTGGCCCCGCCGTAGATGGGAGTTTGTTTTGACGGGAGTTTGTTTTGTGGCACGAAAGCAGATCTGACCAAATTCAGCCACAAGTGTTGTTCCCCCAATTCTTTTCTGCCTGATGTGCAGACAACTCATAAAACAAACTCTTCCCTTTGCCATTTTTTGGTGATTCTTCCCTCTTCTCCCCCCCTATCCATTCCCTCCCCCCCCCCCCATTTCTGCTTGTTCCAATGGACTGCCCTCCATCCGCTCTTGTTCCCACCCAACCGCTATTCTTCATCTGTCCACATGTACTTCACTATAATGCTCCTTTTTTTCTCTAGGCATCATGGGTGTCTGCAGGAAGGGGGTCAAACACACATAAAAAGGGACAAGGCTTTGATTGCATGATTGACGCCACCATCTTAACTTTTTGACACCCTCCCCCCCCCCATGGATACTCCTTGCTAAGCATCAATCCACCACTTGCATGATTTGAGTTGATGTGAGAGAGGTGGACAATCTTTGGCTACATGTGGCCTCCAACACACTCTTTGCAACTGCTAGGCACTCTTTTCCCTTCTTAAAATGCCATTTTTTTCCTCCTTTTATGGGATTTGAAGGGACGGTATATTCTCAGTATATACTCGTAAGACCTAAGGCTCCCTCTTTACCTCTTGATTGCCCTGCCCTGAGGGCAAATATTTAGGCTTTGTCTTCAAGAAAGTGGTCCACTTCTGAAGTAGCATAAAAAGAGGAGTTGAGAGGATTCTCACCCTTGTCCCATTTATATGTGACTTTCATCCTGAATGACAGTTTGTGAATAATGTTTTCTAGGACCATGCTTCCCATCCTTAGCTCTGATCTAGTTCCGCTTAGCACAGTTAGAAAGCTGAAACATAAGGTGCTGTGTCTGAATAATCCTGGAAACCCACTGTAGTATAAGGGGCAACTGTGCCAGATGAGAACTCTGTAGCCTCTTATTCAAATCTTTGTCTGTTCTTGAGGTTTTCTGCGTGAACTTGGGTGCACACACTCACATTCTCCTCACAACACCTCTGCATCTTCTCCATATTTCTGAGCAATGGATCCATCCCCACTTAATCCATCTGTTCTGCTTTCTCCCATGTATTTACAGTGACCATACATCCTTTATTTTAAAAGATAGTCCTTTATTTCGGAAAGCTGTCCTTTAGATTTATTTTTCAAAAACTCACTTTTGTTCTTTATTTTGGTCCTTTAACTTTTACCATACAAATGGTGCCAGTTAACGCAGTCTTTCACATTCATGTGAAAAATATGGAAATGGAATTGTCTTTTTTAAATAAATGTACATATAGTTTGATTTTATTTTTATTAGAATATGTGTTTTTGTAAAGTTTTTCTTGGTTTTGCTCTTGAATTTTCCTTTGTAAAGCCAAGTTATAAACATAAAATATGTGTTTTTGTAAAGTTTTTCTTGGTTTTGCTCTTGAATTTTCCTTTGTAAAGCCAAGTTATAAACATAAAATATGTGTTTTTGTAAAGTTTTTCTTGGTTTTGCTCTTGAATTTTCCTTTGTAAAGCCAAGTTATAAACATAAACTTTTTTTTTTATCCTTATGAACCTTTCAGATTTGCCCCCTTTTCAGGGTTCTCCTTTATTTTTTCCAAGAAAATATGGTCACCGTACGTGTATTGGATCTTTTTTCCAAAAAGCTCCATCCACATTCAAGCTCAGAGGTAGCTAACAGTAATCCTGCCAAAGTTTATGGACTTTTAAATTCCTACTAGTTCCTACTGGGAAGTTAAAAACACACTTCAGGCTTTTTCAGGAGGATGTGGAGGTATTTAACTCAGTGATGGCGAACCTATGACACCCGTGCCAAAGGTGACACGCCATGACATTTTGGGTGACCAGCCAACATTCACCAACACCCAAAAACAACTATGCTTCCTGTTTGAGTTATCAAAGAAACTGGGTTTGTTTTATTCATATTTCATTTTTGTAATTATTTGACGTTTCTTTATACAATGCATAATACCGCACATGATTGGACTGTATTTTTTTTTTAATGAATGTGTAACGAATTGTTTGTCTTTTGTTCGGGGGCGGGGGGGGACACACCAGCAGAGTCAAGTTAAGCATTTTCCAAATGTTTGACATGCCAAGCCCAGAAGGTTTGCCATCACTGGCTTAACTTCATCTGGATCAGGCCAGAATTAAAATTATGCTGTCTATTTATTTTCTTCCTTATTCTGACCAGGTGATTCTGGACCAGTTCAACCCAAGTTTAAGGAATTTTGTTACGATGGGAAAGAACTATCAAAAAGCCCTCTCAGGTAATGGAATACCACGGTCCAATTCCCTGACTTTGTATCAGGTCAGCATTGATGATCCTTAAAGGAGAAAAACTCTCTGCAACATCTGTAGTTAACTGTTCGATGTTCTGTTCTCTCCCACTCCCTGTTCTCCTTTACAGGGGTTACTGTTGCTGCCAAAGGCTACTTCGATGCCTTGGTGAAACTTGGTGAGTTGGCCAGTGACAGCCAAGGGTCCAAGGAGCTGGGTAGGTTTCTTGGTTGAACATGTTTTGACCCTTCCAGAACAACAAACCACATTTCCTCTTGCTGCACACTCCTTGTGGAGAACTCTTATATGGCTTCTCCAATGTTCTAGTAAGAGATAGGCAGGAGAATCTAGATCAGCGTTTCTCAACCTTGGCAGCTTGAAGATGTGTGGACTTCAACTCCCAGAATTTTCCAGCCAGCATGCTGGCTGGGGAATTCTGGGAGTTGAAGTCCACATGTCTTCAAGGTGCCAAGATTGAGAAACACTGATCTAGATTTTCTATAGAGCATCATAAAGCATAATGTAAATAACCTTCCCCAACCTGAAGTCCCACATCTTCCAGAGGTACTGGGACTTCAACTCCCAGAATTCTTAGCCAGTACTGACAAAAGAAATTGCACTGGTAGTATATCAGCGGATGTGGGGGGGAATGACAGGTTGGGGAAGGTTGAAACAAAGCTTTGGACAGAATTTGGCTAGAACGACATAGAATTGGTCAGTTGGGCCACCATATCCCAGCTGCAAAAATCCAAGCAGTCACTAAGTGAGAAGATATAGTGTTTTCTGTATGTCTGTGCTGCCATCCAGCTGCTGTCTGGATTTTTGCAGCCCAGATATAGTAGCCTGAGTATTGTTTACATCAGTGTTTCTCAAACTTGGCAACATTAAGATATGTGGACTTCAGCTCCCAGAATTCCCCAGCCATGCAGCTAGGGAATTCTGGGAGTTGAAGTCCCCAATCTTAAAGTTGCCAAGTTTATGAAACACTGGTTTACTTTATAAGGACTGGCCTGTGACCTGTTCATCCTCCCCCTTTATGATTTGCATACATATATCATGTGATCTGATACCCTTTCTAATTTGGCAATCAAATTATACTGGTGGCATCATGGAATCCACCTTCAGAGAGTAGCAACTCCACACATTCAAGATAAACTGAAATGAAAAACTTTGTTACGCATTCAGCAGAATCAGGTGGAAAATTTTGCTTGGATATACAGTTTTAGGTTATGGTGAGGGATGCGTTTTCAAACATGCCATTTGCACTTGAGAGAAAAATAGGGATTTTTTTCATACAGGTAGTCCTCACTTAACAACCACAATAGGGACCAGAAAATTGGTCGTAAAGTGGGACAGTCATAAAGTGAGTCACCACATGACCAGACTTGATTTTACAACCATTTTTACAATGGTTGTTAAACAAATCACATGGTCATTCAGCAAATCATGTGGTCACTAAGTGAATCTAGCTTCCCCAATGGACTTTTTTGCTGGAATTCATTTAATGACCACATGATTTGCTTAACAAGCATCGTAAAAAAGGTTGCAAATCACAATCAAGTGACTGCGGTGGGTGGTGCCACAGTTTGCAATGGTCATAAGCGTGAGTACAGGTTGTAAAGGACTTTTATGTCATAACTTTGAACTGTAGTTAAAGGAATGGTCGTTAAGCGAGGACTACCTGTATTTAAGTATTGCTACCACACACACCTCACACATACATATCAATATTTATGGTACAGCCCAAAAAGAGGCTTATCGCCGATGCTGTTAATTGTATAACTATCCTTAAGCTACGTTAAGTTATTTTGGGGGCTTTTGGATTGTTAGCATTTTATTTTCTGAGAATGCCTCTAGCATTTTCACGAGGACCCCAGGCATTGTTGGAATGCTGATTATGTTTGTAGCAGATGTTTTGCTACAAAGCAGAGTCAATTATCACGTATTGGTTTAATTAAAACACATTGTAAAAATAAAATTAAGTGTGGGCACATTTGTGGACCTAGACCAGTAAATGGCAGGCACAGCATTAGGCCTGGTGCTCTGGCTGTGGATGTTGGAACTGTAAATGTCAACCACATTTGGAGGGCACCAGGTTGAGGAAGGCTGTTCTAAATCAATAGATATTTGTATATCTCTTAAGTTATTGTTAAATACTCATACATTCTTATGTGGGGATGTGCTTATCTATATGCATGATGTATATCTCATAAATCTAATCTCTATGTAGGGTAACTCAGATATGTAGATCACAGGTTGCACCCCCAAGGCAGAAGGTCAGCAGTTGTCTCCAAAGCTCTTTAGGGCATGAAAGGCCTTCTGGATACATGTGTTGTTGGTTCCAATTGAAAGCTGTTTCTTTGGATAACATCAGGGAATGGAATTAACTCAAAAGGAGATTACCCTGGGACAGAGAAAGTCAGCAGGGTTCAAATGATCTTTAAATGTTGAGGGAATGGCTTGGGTGCATTAACCTTTCAGTTATCTTGGCCTTCAGGTGATACCTTGTTCCAGATGGCTGAAGTCCACAGGCAGATCCAAGTACAACTGGAGGAGACGGTGAGTGCTAGTATCCGATACTAGCCCAGTATCAGGCCTGCTCGTGTTCGATTAACAGCCTGTTTATTCTGGCATCCTCCTCCTTTCTTGTCCTAGATTAGACCTGCAGGCCCGTTTCTCCTGGTACCTCCTCAATGTCTCACAGCCATTCCTGGGACCTAGAAGAGATGGGAGGGAGAGGGAAGCACTGATCTCCCTTTGTCTGATTGTCACTCTGCCCTTTTCTGCTTTTCCATCACTTGCTCTTAGCTGAAATTTTTCCACTCTGAGATGCTGTCCCAGCTGGAACACAAACTGGAACTAGATATCAAGTATCTGATGGTAAGTGAAAATATCGCCACTCTGTAATTTCAAATTTGTCTCTCTATTGCTGTGCATGTCTGTTTATCCATCACCTCCTCCTCATTATTATATATTTTATCCAGTCCATAATGGCTGGATTCATATAACATGCTGTCATAAACCATGCTGACGCAATGTGTTAAGCCAAAACTAAATACATAATTTTATGTTTTAAAATCAGCCCAACTTTAAGTTTGGGGTTTTTTAGTTAGGTCAGCCAGCATTCCTCAGGGAACCCACTTTTCCCAATCTAGTGACCAACAGATGTATTGGATTTCAATTCCCATAATCTCCTTGTCAATTAAAAGTTATGGGACAGTAAAGTCTGATACATCTGGAGACACCAAGTTGGGAAATCTAGCATCTTGATTTGGCATAGGTCTGATTCTCTATCATGTTAGATCCAACCTTCCTTCCTGTCAGTATTAATATACAGGTAGTCCTCACTTAGCAACCACAATTGGGACTGGCAAAACGTTTATTTATTTATTTATCAAATTTGTCACCACCCATCTCATTAAAAAGTAACTCTGGGTGGTTTACAGAGAAGATAAAATCAATTAAAATACAATAAAAAAAGAGTCTTAAATAAATAATAAACAAATTCCAAGAAATGATGGAACTGGCGAGTAGCTCAAGAAGCGACAGCAAGGCGCCAGCCACCTCCGGGATTGATTAAAGTTCTTATCGCCCTACACAAGCTGGCAGGGCCAGATCAACATCATGTGATCACGACTGAGGATTTTACTTCCTCATTCTCTATTAATTCTCCTTGTCGCAAGCCGGTTGCAAAGCATGCAAATGGTGCTCACGTGACTGTGGAATGCTGTGACGGTCATAAATGCGAGGATTGGTCACAAAGCTTTTTTTTTTTTTTTTAGCATTGTTATAACTTTGAACAGTTGCTAAACAAAGCGGTCAGTAAGTGAGGACATCCCATATGTCCATCTGCTTGTTTGTTGAAAAGGATTCAAAACTCAACAACAATTTGGGAAACATCTGTACTTTGATGTGAAAACCATGGAGCACCCTGTATCTTCAAAGCTGATCTGGCCATGATGCCTCATTCCCCCTTTCCCTAACTTCTAGGCTACCCTGAAGAAATATCAAGGGGAGCATCGTGCCAAAGCCGAATCAATTGAAAAGTGTCAGGCAGAGCTGAAGAAACTGCGCAAGAAATGCCAGAACAGCAAAAACCCACAGAAATATGGGGATCGTGAAGTGCAGGTAGGTTTGATGGGGAAGGGAAGGGAGAATGACATTGCAGGAGGAAGTCTTAAGAAAACAATGAGAACATTGTGAGCTTCTGGAGGGAATAGTGTCATATCCTGTCAGAAATGGACATGTGGAATTTCAGGCCACTGACGGATCAGCCAGACTCCACCAATTCAATGAACAGATTTATTTATAAGATGTTAATAAAAGATAACAGGCCAACCTCCCTGATGCTGAGTTCAACAAACAATCTATCCAGCCAAGTAGATTTCTCCACTTTACACAGAACTGACTCTTCAAGCTAATTTCATGGAGGTTTTCTCTCTACAAAAGAAGCTTCTGTTTTAATACTTCACTTGAATTGTGCTTTCCAATTTCTTTGGGCAGGTTTTTTTTTTAGTAAAGTTGGATGCTAGAGATACTATTATTTTTGGTGGCACATCTGTTCATCTTTCTGGGACTTCCCTGGCTGTTTCAGCTTCTGGAAAAGCCCCAAAGGAGGAGTTTGCCCACAATGTCTTGGCTTGAAATGTAATGGGAGTATAAGCACCCAGGGAGGCTACAGACCGCTGGAGAGATAGAGGGTTGTAAAATACAAGACAGGATACTCCCCCACCACTCTAGGCCATCTCCAAAGTAAAGCAGGTGTCAAAATCACACACACAGAGGGACTAGAGAGGGGATAGCAACTACTCCAGCTGCTATCATATAGTGACTAATACTGGAGTATGGTAAAGAGTTTTGTTTGTTGATAGTTATAATATGGTGGGCCTTTGGCACAGATGAACATGAAAGATGAGATCTGTAAGAATTTCATAGATTGTTTTCCTTCTTCTTCTTTGGGGAAAAAAATGACTGTACTAGCTTTTGAGAATTGAGAACCAGAAGTCGTGCCTTGCAAATGTCGTACAGCATTACATCAAGCGGTGTTTTCTTGCTACTGAAGGTACTTATGGTTGAGCTCATGACTTTATGCCCATGAAATGATTCTCGCTGTGAACAGTATAGCTCTTTGCTTCTCCATTCCTTGCTGTGGCAAGAAAAAGGTCCACATGTTTATCAGCTAAGAGGTTAATTCAGTCCTTGGCATCTCCAAGTCAAGGCTGGAATGACTCCTGTCTAAGACACCAAATCAATGTAGGCCAACTTTTTCTAACCTGGTGCTATGTCAGTTCATAAACTATGATTTACAGTCACAATGGTTGCATTCATAGGATACACTGAACCAAACACAAACCAAACACATTATGGTTCAGTGAGCTTTGTGTGAATCAGGCCAACTTAAGACACCATCTTTGGTTCCCAGTTGTTGGCTAGCATCCTCCAGTGCTGCAAGCAAGCAGAACAGTAGCCTGGTTTTATTTATTCCATACAGTTTTCCTGTAATAGGTAGGCTCACTTACCTTATGCATCATGATCATACTATATAATTCCCCTCTTGAAACAAGAGCAGCCACTAATATGGATCAGCAGTGGGGAAATGCATGACACGCTAACATCATAGTATACCTCCTTCAACCTGTCGCTCACCAGATGTGTTGCTCTCAGTCCTCATAACCACAAGGCCATGCTGCTTAACAACTACAGGACCCATCCAGCACATCTGTAGAGCACCAGATTGGGATATGCTAAGCAATTCTACAAATGGCATGCAGAGAAGACCATGGTTTACAATAGCCATTGTAATTCTACCCATATGAGTAGCTTCAACATACACGATTGTCACTTATTGAACAAACAAGAGGAAGTGGGCTATCCCTGAACATAAATTAGCAGGGAAAGTTGAATAACCACAGAGAGTGCATTAGATGCTAAAACACAGACCACACATAAGCATATTTTCTACTCAAAGATGCTCTAACCATTTGGCATGTAGAAAGGATAAGACTTTGCTGTATCCTGTATCTAGTTAAGACATCTTACCAGGATACACGTTGAAATTCTGACAGAATTTGAGGCCTTGGTTGATGTGGCACTAAAAATGCAAATTTGGTGCAATCTGGATGCAAAAAGGGTATAGGGAAAAATGCTTGAAAGGTTGGGTTTCTGCAGTTTTCCAGTGGAGTCTCTTGCTCTCGGCTGGGCGTTAAGAGTTCCTGTCTTCTGCAGTGTAAAAATGAAACCCTGCAGCTGTTGCTCCCTCCCCTTGCCATGTTCGTATGGGGTCGCTGCCTTCTCCATGGGTTGCTGTCTGGTTGGTGGGTTTGGGGTCACTAAGAAGGCGAGGTCTTGAAAGGGTTTAATATTCTGTGGTCATTTGGTGCTTAAAGAGATAAGCTCTACAGAGGGGCTACCTGCGAAAAAGAAAAAAAAAACTCTGATGCACACACTTTATTTTGCAGACCTGCACACAAACGCACACATACAGTTGTGTACAGTGTCCATAAGCATGCCATGTTTTTGTGCAAAACATTTACAAATGCCCTCTTTGTATGTGCATTTGCCCTGCTGGAGCCCTGTATGTGTCTGTAGTGTTCCTTTTGCACCGCCGTTTTAGTTATTCCCCAACGGTTGCCCCTCGAGCCTTAAAAAGCAATGGATGCGGCCCTAAAAAAAAGAAAAGAAAAGCGGGCTGGCGATCTTGTATATTGCATTGCAAATGCCACACACCAGGAAGTAGGCCGCTCGCTAGCTTCTGAATACAGCACACTTGTGCTGCAGGGTGTGTCCAGGCAGGCAAGCTGACACAACTCATCCTGCATTCACACTGCTTCCTCCTGGCTCCCTGACTCACTCTGGCCTTGCATCCCCTATTTACCTTCCCTCCCCCCTCCCCTCCCCATCCTGGGAATCCCCACAGCAAGCTTTGCACTCCTTTTGTCAACCTTGTTGCCACAGTAACCATTACTTCAGGATCAAGGCCTGCTCAGGGGGGGGGGGGGGCAGTGAGGAAGGGGCACAGGAGTAACCCTTTATTGCCCGTATCCTCTGAGATTGGCCCCTGCCTCTGCGTGCCAGCTTGAGGGGCAGATAACGGAGGGTCCAGCCTTCAGCACTTAACACAAATCAGGGAATTTCCCTTGTCTTTTGTCATTGGGACGATCCATGGGGGACAAAGGGATTGAGGCTCCTTAAAGCCTTTTAGGGCTTGTCTTCCAAGAGTCCTTGACGGCTTTATGGATGGTGTCAGAAACCAGGGAGCCTGGCACCCTTCTGGTATTTTGGGCCACAGCTTCCATGTGTCATCTGTGCACAAAAGATTGTGGGAAAGTCCAATGCATCTGGAAGATGAAAGGCTACTTATTCCTGAACAGTGATAGCTGCTTTTCAATAATTAATCCAGAATATTGCATCCAAAAGTTGTAGAAAATCCTGCCTTGGGGCTCTGGAAGTTTTTAGGACTTCTTGGCCAAGGAAGGGGGTGTCCTTTTGTAAATAAAACGTGCAAACCTGCCGTTTTGACGCTGAGTGTTGGGGAACGTGAATACCTTTTTTTGCTAAACTATATGCTTATGATAATCATATGTATGAGTCATACGATATGCTAAGGATCCCATAGACGCTTGAATAGTAAAACAGGGAGAAATTATGTCTGGTAAATGTCAAAACCTCAATATAAAATAGGAAAATTGTTTTTTGTTCTTTAGGGCAAATTGCAGGAGTTGGATAAGAAATAACTAACCAACCAACCAAATATTGCAGTTAAGGGAGGGGAAAAAAGGCTGCAAGAAGGATTCAGAATTATGTTTGGAATAATAATAATAACATAACCGCAACAACAATAATAATTAGGATGTTCTATTTATCCCAAAGCACATTTTAGCTGGCTGCATTTTTCCAGGGGCACTAAGAATTATAATAGTAAAAACTCTTACTAAGAGTGCTGAGTAAAATACATAAATTATTTAAACATACCAATGTAAAGATGCCTTTGAGTCAGGCTCCACTCACGGTGGCTTCTTAAAACCATGCAGAATTTTTTGAGAATCATTTGGAAATCAATCAAACCTGCTTAGTTTCCAACCCCAGATCGAGTCCCTAAAGGGCTTCCCTTTGTTGAAACAAGTTGCGTAGAGCCACAAGCCTATATGTACACACTAGTAGGGCTTACTTCTTGGTAAACCTGTACAGAATGGGGCTGGAACAGCCCAAACCATTTCATTCTGCTGCAGATCATGGGAATTTTAGCCCAATGCATCTGAAGAGCAGCACATTAAGCAAGGCTGGTATAGTACATGTTTTTATGATTTTGCCCCTGAGAGGTAGGCATGATGGAGCCTGCTACCCTCCAGATACGTGGCTGGGATCCTGGGAGCTGTAGTCTCCACACAGGTGGAAGGCTCCCAATTTGAGAAGGCTGATGTGTGTGATACCTGGATGCTGTACAGTGGGGGTCTCTTCAGGGTGTGGTCAAGAAAGTCAGGATGTTGGGCCAACATGGTGTGCCTGAAGGTCCACCACACTTAAAAAACAGGTGACGCTTTGGTTACACTGTTATGGCCAACTTCTAGACTTCCTTCATCACACCCTGAGGACACTCCTCCTATGTAACATTGCTCGGTCATTCTGGCTGCACCACAGCTACACTGCAGATTAAAACAGGATGGCTATTGTCATATCTCTTGATCGTTTGGGATGTTTTTGCTCTTTCCACCCTTAGTATGTGGAAGTCATGAGCACCAAGCAGAGTGAGCTGGATCGGTTTGTGGCAGAAGGCTACAGAGCAGCCCTGACAGAGGAGCGGCGACGGTATTCATTTCTGGTGGACCGCCAGTGTGCAGTTTCTAAGCACTTCAGCAATTATCACACGAAGGTGAGCTCCCTCTCTTTCCCCTTCTCTCCCCCAACCCCAGCATATGCTTTGGGCTGAAATTTCCCCTGAGACAACCTCTGGCCAAAGATGGAAACAAGAGGTCCTGTATGATTTGTGATTCTGCATTTGCAACAGAGGTGTCAGAAAAGCTTCAACTGCACAGTTGTGACCACTGTCTTGACTTTTTTGGCACCCTCCTCATGGACACCTCTGATTGCAATGTGGGAGCTTAGTATTCCCCATGTTTAAACAGAGTAAAGCAGTG